TCGAATCATTTTCCACAGATGACGACTTGCACTCCTGACTCGTTAAATTAGGTGTCTCTGATAAATTAACTGAATCTGCTGACGATTCTGGTTTGGAATAACATGTCTCATTGGTACTATCAATCTTAGAAGTCCTATCTTCTGATAATAAAGGAGAATGCCTCATATTTAAAATCTCAGCATTTATTAAATCCAGATCTTCTTGGGCATAGGAAGTAGAGGTCTTAACAGACATAATTACCGGATCTAAAAACATAAACAATCATTCTTATAACAAACGTCGAACAAAATGAACCTTAAGAAACAAGTAATAATGATTATTTATTAACAATCTATTCGTTATTATGAAAAAAAAAATTAAATATTAAAAACAAATGCATTGTTGAAATAAAAGAACATCAAAAAGAACATCTCCCAAAGTTTCATTTGTTTCAATCATGCATAAATAATTCTATATAATGTTTGCATCAATTAATATTTATCTTAATAAAAATATTCTATTTTTATAAACATTAAAATTAAAAATTCATAGAAAGAAATGGTTTATTTGAAAAAGAAATCCATGATTTTGTATGTCCTCTTTCTTTCGATAGTATCGCGTACACGCGAGTAATTGTAAATATTGAAGAAAAGAGGAGTATAAGAGGGGAGAAGAAAAGCCACCGAAAGTAGCGAAGTGTGAGGAAAAAGGGAGGGGTAAAAGAAGGAGGAGGAGGAGGAGGAAGCAGAGTAGAAGTAGGAGAAAGAGAAGGAGGAGAGACGTAAGCGGCGAAAGAAGAAAGAGAAAAAGGACGCACGAGTTATAAGACAATGTTAACTATTTTTTTTCTCTCTCTCTTTGTCGTTTTCTCTTACAATTGACAAAGAGAGAAAGATAGATGAAATAATAAAAAAAAGTATTATAGGAAAGTAATAAAGTAACGTAGATTATATATATATAAAATTTCGAGATAAAGATACCTGGGTGGTTATCATAGTCGGTAAATACCGATGGTACGCTGCCTTTCTTCAACGTTAGCTTGTTAGTTTTATTGGCGGCTTCGTAGTCGGCACGTTTAAAATGTCTATGACAAATGATTTGACCGGGCGTCGGCTTGAAGTTAGAACCGAAAGGAGCACCCGTCAACCACCTGCCTCTAAGTACAGCGTCCTTCGGAAATTTATGAAGGGGTAGACCCTTGTTACGTGCCTCCTGTACGTCAATCTTGCAGTTGGGCACGCAACATTTGCGCGCCATTCTCATAATCGGCACCGTTGGCGGTAGCCCCTTCTTAGCACGCGAGCGCGCTATACGCCGCCGCTTCATTTACGCCGGTACTACATAGCAACGATCATTCGAGAGAAACATTCGCCGACACAGGCCTATCTCAGCACTGCACCACTACCACACATTCACCACCTCCTTCTTCTTTTTCTCCTACTACTAATTTCTTCTTCTTCTATTTCTTCTTCTTCTACTACTTCGGCTTCTTCAACTTCTTCAGCTTCGTTGTCTTCGTTTAATCCTTATACCTTAGATTGTCGTTCTATCTATTTATCTGTTTGTCTAGCTAACTAGCTATTTATTAATTTTGGATATTATCACGTCCACGGCGCAGTCGTCATCGTTGACTACCTTGCGTTGTTAACTGAAGCTTAGAAAAAGCTCGCTCGAAGCGCCTCGCGAACGCGCGCGCCCTTTACACTTCGCAATTACTCGATCTAACACTACCTAGAACGACGACGTCCGTTTAACTACTGAACAACGATCGACCAATCCTATTCCTATTGGACAAACGATGTACTAATTATCGATTAGCTTATCTCGAAACTTTCCCACCATTCGATTTTCGATATAACTATTTTCTTCTTTCTAATAATCTTCTTTATTATTTTTATTCTATCTTATATTTTGCGTATCGATTGTTTTTATTCAATTATTGCTACCTTCTTTCTTATTTATGTTTTGTCGTTTATTTTTTATTTATTTGATTAATTAAATTAAGCCGGAAAATTAATTTGTTTGATTATTAATCGATACAGTGAACATATCGATAGAAAAATAATTTCGACCAATAAATGCAAGTGGCGACATCGCACTAAAGTCAACGTATTTCAAATGTACTTAATATGTACTATTTTCGTTTATGTACATTTTATATACGAGATTTTACATAACCAATGTCCATATTACTTTATTAACTACATTAATGGCCTAAGAAATATTCTCATGTGTTACTTTTTAATGACCATCAACCACAAGGAATAACTATACATCAATAATGACACGTACTAGTTTAACATCGATTACGTCATATAATAGGCTGCAATTTCTAATAAACTTGTGCAATACTTGTACACATGTACAAGTTTATAAAGATTAACATTACAAAATATATATAACAGTATTGTTCTAATTACAACAAAGTTGCACATATTGTTCATTTTCAAATTAAACGAGTCATTCGTAGATAAAAAGCTAAAAAATAGTTCCTATTAATTAATGTTTCTTTATAATATTTTCTTTATATATGAATTTTTTATTATTTTATTAAAGATTTATTCTCTCTCTCTCTCTCTCTCTCTCTAAAGATAATTATATTTAAAATAATATCAAATACATTACTTATTTTCACTACTATTAAGGCGGGATTTCATTGGAGTTCATCCAATCAGAGACAACTACGACGTTAATATTCACCAGATGTAGCAACGTGATAAATTCTCCTTAAGAGTGCTCATTTTTAACACGTGACATCCGCTTAGCGGCTTCCCTTCTTTTCCTTTCCGTTAGTTCGACGTTACGTTGTGCTTGTTCTCTCTTGCGGAGCTAAGGCCAAATCGGCGACTTGCACTATTATTAAGATTCATCGAGTTTAAATAAGTTTAATTAAGATAATAAACATGTCTACCAAGGCTGAGCTCGCTTGCGTTTATTCCGCTCTTATTCTTGTTGACGATGAAATCGCCGTAACGGTAAGAAAATTTCGTCTATATTTATACCATGCTTTATTATTCGTCATATGTAGTTATACATTATTGTATATAATTATCCAAATTAATTTTTTTTTGTTATTATAACTTTTCTTTTTATTCTCCAATTGTTTTATTTATTGGAATTGTAAAAATTATTTTATTTAGGAAAAAAAAAGAATAGTCAAGCTTAAAAACGAAACAATAATGTGCTATGTGAAAACACTATATAATGAATGTACGATTTTAACATTTTCATTTATATATTGCAGGGTGAAAAAATTCAAACAATTTTAAAGGCTGCCAACGTTGATGTAGAATCCTACTGGCCTGGACTTTTTGCCAAGGCTTTGGAAGGAATTAACGTGAAAGATCTCATCACCAGAATTGGAACTGGTGTTGGTGGTGCACCTACTGTTGGTGGTATGTATTTTATTAGTATTATGTATTAAAACATTTTGCTTTTTATTTTTTTCTAATATTGTCCTCTTCATCCACCTTTCTATACAAAGTTAAATTGTTAGAACGGTCAGCGATCGAGGAAATATCAAATGAAAATAGAATCTTATTTAGTCATTTGTTCTACACTTTTGGCTTAGATTCTGTTAGCAACAATTAAACAAAATCTTTAATAAATATTATGCTTTATTTTTCTTTATATTTAATGAGCACGTTTCTTGTTTTAGCTGCTACTGCTGCAGCTGCACCCGCTAGTACGGAAGCTGCCCCAGCTAAAGAAGAAAAGAAGAAAGAAGAACCTGAAGAAGAATCAGACGAGGACATGGGTTTCGGTAAGTTGAAACAAATTGTCGAAAATCTCCTTTTCTTTTCAATATTTTACCAAGCTTATTATAATATAATATTTATTCTAATCCAAGTAAAAGTATATATTCAATGATTATTTAATCATGTATTAGCTACTGATAGCATATATGAAGATAATACAATTAAATGAGAATAGTCTTTACATTTAAATATTTTTCTTTTTTATATATAAAAATGTAAACATAAATTTGTATACTAATTAAATTTCATTCCTTTACAGGTTTGTTCGATTAAACTCAGGGATCGCATTATGTTGGTCCATTCCTTTTTTATGTACAGTTATATTGTACAGTGAATAAAACATTTTAAAAATTCAAAATTATTAGGAAGTATTTGTACTTTTTCTTGTCACATTAGAGGAAGCATAAAGTAGAGATGGTAAGCACAATTTTTCTATACGAATACTTAAACATAATACGATGGGCACATTTAAAATCTATTATTGATATTGGGTATCTTTATATATCAGGCATATTAATGTTATTTTTATAATTATTTAGTTATGGCGGATGTGCGTTTACAGATAAAAGTACATGTTCGTATGTATGCGTGTGGATAGATTTCTCTAAAATACATGGTTCCTCGTGATAAGAAGCTCACAGTATTTGAACAATCATTTCGGATTTTGCTATTATCATCTCGTAAAATATTAGAGATAATATAATACGTATATTTCACTTCTTTTTTCAAATATACGATGTACATCTTTTATAGATATTAGATTTGGAAACTATGAGACACTTATTGAATCATAGCATCGTTTGAAAGAGCCTGCTTTCATTTTAACATTGAAAATATCCTGCAAATTGTCGTGGACAACGCAATTAATATTACAATTACATTAGTACGAACTACAGTTTACAATATTGGCCATGTATATATAGAAAGAATAATTATATTCACATATATATATATATATATATATATATTTATATTCTATGAAGTTTCAGTCTATCCGACAGATCCAACAATTACATCTATGAGATCAGCGTGTCCATGCAGTTGGCTCCGATAATATATATAATACCACAACTGCATGAAATTTTTAGTCCTTTAATTTAGAGATCGTTCGCACGGCATTTATTTTTTTTATTTTTTACCAGCAGAACTGTGCGTTATGATTTTTTTTTTCTTTTTTAATTAAATATCCTCGATATACACAAACTTCAAGAGAGTAAAAAGAAATATAATATATTAAATAAAAAACTCTTGAAATAATCAACTTTTTTAATTTATATGAATATCGTAGAAAATAATTCTCTGAAAAAACACGACAATATGTAGAGCGTATTATTGTAATCAATATCTGAAAATATCATTTGTGTTTTATAAACTTATGGTTTTTGTATTTAGTGAAAATAGTATATGTGCGATTTAATTCGTTATAGATTTTTTTTTTTTCTTTTCTTTAAGTACTTCTTATTATAGACAGAATTATAAATAAGCCCAAAGACTCGTGGATCATCGATCTGCAAGTTACATTAGGTGCTTATTCTTAATTCATTCATTCTTATTTAATTCATCGATACGATGAATTTCCGGTTCGGATAAGGGTAACCATTGTGCAGATGCACCCTTCCCTGACAAGACACGATGGAAGAGTTCTTTCTGACATTTGCTGGAAACCTCGCATTTTGCTATTAGCTCACCATTAGCACGCAATATTAAAAACTCTAATGCACACTTTGAAAAGCTTACATTAGGAACATCGAAGCTAAGAATATCATTCCAGACAGGACTAGTTGCATCCCGCTTGATACTAGATTTCTTCTTCTTAATAGTTTTCCCATCTTGCTTAAGTATCACCTAATAAATAATGAAAAATGTTATAAATTATTTCCTTTATTTTTTATTTGTTCACCTACCTTTACATATGGATTGCAACTTGTTGACTCGTCAGATATCGGTAAATTCTTAGCCCTGACAACAATAACAGTCAATTTTGTTGCTAATAGTTGATATGAAAGAGACACCATCAATTCACCCAAAGGTGGTGCTCTGAAACCACCCTCAGCTCCATAACGCAATATCGGTACTCTAACGGTTTGAAATGTTATTCCAAGATTATCTACCAAAGTAGATAAATGAAATTGCGCGTAACCCAATCCACGGTGTCTAGAAAATGCATCGAAATCGTATAAGAGAACTTCCAAAGTCCTGTCGCACAAAGATGATTCTGGATTAACTTCGAAAACAAAATCCTCGTCGAAGACTGTTGGGGGGAAAAGAAAATACGTGATTAATTAATGAATGTATTTGATTGATGTTGTATCATTAATTTTACCTGGATTTAAAGTACGTTTATGTATTCTCGTTTGCCATACGTTACTTCGATCAGGTAACAGACGAATTTTAGCATAAGGATCGGCTGTTCCACTAAGTTCACGAGCACGTAAATTACGAGCCTTATAAAAAAGAAAGAATCAAATATTTATATAGGAGCATGTGTGATGATAAAGGTAATTTTATTCAAGTTAATGAATCTAAGATTTATTTGACAAGAATGAATTATATGAAATATTAAATACCTCTATAAGTCGTACAGACAAAATACCAGTGGAAGCATCGTGAATCAAACCTATTTCTAATTCACCCCTAAACTCATCCGTCGAAGATGTCGACGAGGAAGAAGAGAGCTACGAATCAATTTAATGATAAAAACACAATACACACATAAAGAACAATTATAATCAATAATTATGATATAATGGATTGTGTGAATCTTAAAATTGATTTTATAATTTATTTTACATTATACAATTATTTCATTAATTCAATCCATTGTTATAATTACCGGGGCGAATATCAAAATAATTATTGTATACCTTGTTCCGTGGTTCTGATTCGATTTCAAGACTATTAAGTCTTGAATGACAGCTATCTAAGCTTCTAGGTGGATGTCTAACGATTACCATTCGTTTTTCTGATGCTACAACCGCACCTTCCGGTAAAGGTGGTGTAAGAGGACTCATAGGTGATGGTGGAATGTCGTCGGATTCAGATAAATGATGTCGAACTATAAAGAGAAATATGTTAATTAATAATAATTCTTTTGACCAAATTCGATTGAAATAATGTTGAATAATATTCTCGTATAAAAACCCTTACTTTTCCTTGGAGAATCACTCGCAATGCTGTCGAATACATGATCTGATTGCGATTCTTCATCATCGGAACGACTAGCACTGTGTTTTAGAGTTCTATTATCACGACCAAGAGATACACTTGATCCTAATCCAACTAGAACATCCTTCGAAGATCTTGCAGCCTCTTCAGCTCTGTTCAACAAATCTTTTTCGAACCTGTAATAAATGTACGATATACATATAATTTTAAAATAAAATCAACCAATGTTAGATAGATCTGATGCACGTAACAAGAAAAAAAAGAACACAGACCAATTAAGAGGACCAACGCCCGAAGGAAGTAATGGTGATCTTCGACGACGTGCACAAATCGTGTAAACGATAACCGCTGAAATAGCTCCAGTAGCAGCCCCAACGGTTCCTAAAACTGCAACAACTCCGGCTCCGTGAACGTCCATATTAATTCGATCTTGTATCTATCTTAAATAAAATAATCTCATTAAATCTTCGAATTAATAATAAAAAACAATTCGATACTCATTGATACCCCATAACTCAAACCTTTAACATCTTACGATAATTTTCTAATCATTTTCATTAGACAAAGTTATTAAAATTTATCAAATTTTTCTACTACCGATGACAATGGAGAGTTACGATTATTCGAGATTATAATTATTATTTAAAACAACATTAAATTTCGACTCACCGTTGATTATTATTTGTGTTACATTATCCTTAATTGATATCCCGTTGTTGATTTAAAGTTGAAATTCCTTTTGATCTACGTACGCAAATGCAAGACATATGTTGCCGGTAAGGCTTTCTGTGGCCTTGAAACATATACGGTATAAAGTACTTGTCACATAAGGGAAAAAGCACTGATTCTATCTCGTTTTGTACTATTCTAGCGCACATATACAGCACGCTTACGACGATAAATAAGGAGAAAAGCTGTTTCACGTTATAGAGACGTCGCATTGCTCGCTACCCCAGGCGGATCGATATCCCTGTACCTAAGAGAATTCTTACTCCTAATTATTAGATCAACTGGCGGCCCTTTTTTAAATTATTTTCTCTCTCTCTCTCTCTTTCTTTATCTCACATCCTCATGATATGTACAAAATAAAATATAATCTAATCAAATTTTTTCCAAGAGGTTTTTGTTTCCTTTAGATTTTACTATTTGTTTTTAAAAAATTATTTCGCGTAGATTCGTGAAACGGAGCCTCGAATGATCAACAATTGATTCCATGATTTTAATCTTACTATATAAAACACCCTATCTACCTATTCAATCAAGACGTGGTATAAAGGTCACTACATGGAATATATTTCACGCGCATGATCCTCGGTTATGGTTGGAAACGCATGCTTATCGGATTCTTAGATTTTAATTTTCTTATATTTCATCTTTGGAACTTGATATATTTTATTTCTAATATAGACGGCTTTTTTATTTCATGTTCATGGATAGTATATTTTGTCACATTTGTATTTTAATGATAATTCTTATTTTAAAAAGAATCTCTATCGAAAATATTTAAATAATTAAAATTATATATAAACGTTAATAATTTTAATTATTTAATTATAATAATATAAACATTTAATTATTTTATGATAATAATAATAATTATTAGAAGTTAAATTAAAAGTAACAATATTTCAAATTGCGAGTCTTCGATTTCGATTTAAATTTAGAATCGATATAATTGAATCGCAATCGATATATTGAAAATCGAAAACTACGAAAAACAACTTAATCAAATGGTAAGTCTAAAGTTTTTATAATAAGATATTCTATATCATATTAGTCATATTTATTAATTAGAAAAATTTTTTATTATTAAAAATTAATTATTCAACTTAACCTAAATTGTATCGTAAGAGAATGAAAATATAAATAGGAGACCTCTTACGGTGTGGTGTCATAACAGCTAATAAATATGGCGAACAAGGGTACTTTACGTTTGCTGAAAACTTCCAGTAAAATGTCACAAATAAACTTACCAGTAATAAGTACGTTTATGCGAAATTTTTCTAAAGAATCTGATATTATAACTCATACTGGACAGGTAAGCTTATTTAGAAATCATTTCATTTTTATTACATTAAATCTATAAAGTTCAGGTTTAAATTATATTTAAATATTATATGTTATTGATGTTCATATCATAAATAAATAAGGATTTTGTTATTTATTTGTTAGAAATTTGAATCTGATGACTATCGACTTACAAGATTTGTCGACAGACCAAAGCACGTTAATCCAAATTGGGCTATAAATTTAATATCAAAAGTACCATCAACCCCTGTAAAGAGTCGCATTGTAGCTTGTGATGGTGGTGGTGGTCCTTTAGGACATCCTAAAGTTTACATTAATTTGGTAAAAATTTTATGAAATGTTATCGCTTATTTAAACTAAAAATCTTGCTGACAAATATATTAAATGTATTATTTTGTCTTTTATATAGGACGAACCAGGTCCAAATACCTGTGGTTACTGCGGATTGGAATTTCACAAAGAAGATAATCATTAAATGATTTACAGATTAAATACAAGTAGTAAAAAATATGTAAATTTTTGTTAACTAAACTAATAATATATATTACATTAATAAAACAAATATATAAGTAACTCCTGATATTGTTGTATCGTGTAGTATATATTTTTATTTATAAATAGTTTATAAAACTTATGATTCTTATTAGTCTAAGAGAAATACTTAGACTTATATGAATATTAAGAAAATAACATATTAAAGAAAATTATTGTATTCTCATATTATTGACTAACAAATTCATTAGTTAATATATATACATTTCTTTATTACAAGGCTGTTTTTTGATTATTCATACCGAGCGGTATTGCTTGCAATTCTGTTCTCATACAAAGAAATTCTCCACATACACACATTATACTTAACGAAACGATGTTTAAACTCCACCAACTGAACGACGTTGGAAAACTAGCATTGTATGCCCAACAACAACACAAGTGTATCAAATGAGCTGTACACGCAAAGTCCATACACTGTTTTGTTCTCTGTACTAACCACCATAAAGCCATAGCACCTACCAATGCGTTTAAAATAAAAATTACTATTACTAATTGTCCTCCAAAATTACGAATGTGTATTTCCTTGTATTGAAATGCATAGTCCAAAGAATTCGTTGAGCCTAAAAGCGATGCTATAATCCAAATCCATATTCCAAGAAAAAAATACATGACGGATTGCACCGCCACTATTTGAGATACTATAAGAGTAGGATCCCATGTGGTCTTACGAAATTGACCAGAAATATTGTTCATTGCTTTGCTTGAAAATAGTTTCATTTCATTGACAAAAACCATCCAATTCCGTTTATTGTTATTTCCATTATAGTTGTCAATGAGATATCTTTCCAAGTACTCTAAAAAACAAAATATAAATAATATATGCATTACACTTTTCAGGCTTAATACTATTTTGTTCAGTATGTTACATTGTTATTTTCATGCAATTTTATATAAAATATTTTCTAAAACTTTTTAATATCTAACCTATATTTTCTTAACCTCAAATTTTTTGTTTACACGATTAAATTGTTTTAAAGATTATAATTCAAATATAAAACAAATGTATTACATTAATATAATAAATTATAAAGTTCCACGTCAAATTAAAACTGACATATTTACTTAAACACACGTTCATAGAAATGCACACACAGTAGACACAATAAAGAATTAAATACCTTTACATACTTATGGTTGGTAAAACTCCTCGTAATAATATATTTAATCAAAATATTATGTTTATATCAGGGTAATTATCATTATTACTATTATTGGAAAATAAAAAAAGTCCAATAAAGAGGAACAACAAATTAATAATAGATAGTAATCCTGATAAAAGTTAAAATCATAGGCGCCATACGGAGACTCCAATCGAAGTTTGTTTAACTCGATATATTCGATATTTGTAATAAATATTGTACTTAAATTTCGTCATTTACAATAGGAACGTGTAAATTATAAAACAGAATAAACATGAGTCATGTATATAAACTGCATTACGAAAATCATTGATGTATTTGCTTTTCTCTTTGTGTTCTTATTTTTATTATCAATTAGAAAATGTGTCATAGGAAAATGTTATTTTGTATTGTTTAATAAATTTTAATAAAAATCTAAATAATTAACATCTTTTTATTCGCTTCATTTTTTATTTATATCTTTTTCAGAAGGATTATGCAATTGTCGCGATAAAATAATAACAAAATATAATAGAAGTTAATGCCAAGTTTGTTATTAAACAGTTACCGTATATAAAAGAAGTACTTTACTACATAAAGTACTAGATTGTAAGAAAAACAACGCAATAATTAAAACAAAATATCTATATTAGATTTCCAATTGTTGTTTGTTTTTAAATGTATATAGAATTCAATTACACAATCACTTTGTGTACACTTCTTGCTATTAAAAGTTACTAGGAAATAAGAAAGTTTCAAATATATTAAAATTCTAGTAACATGGCTAAGCCGATATCGGTAATAGTAGTGCTCTACCTTTATCTTACCGACCAAGATCTGATGGTAACTTACCATCAGAATTACCGACACTAGAAAAATTTTTACCGCAGAAAGAAAAAAATAATTGCTCTCAATTGCTCATTAATTGATCATTTAGAATCTATAATTGTTCCTTTATTGCTTGAAATTTTTTTACTGTCGGTAATTCTAATGGTAAGTTACCATCAGATCTCGGTCGTTAAGATAAAGGTATAGCACTACTATTACCAATATCGGCTTAGCCATATTACTAGAATTTCAATATATTTTAAACTTTCTTATTTTCTAGTAACTTTTAATAGCTAGTAGTTTACACAATTTGAATGTGTAAATAAATTCTATATGCATTTAGGAGCAAACAATAAGTAAAAATCTAATATCGATACTTTGTTTTAATTATTAATTGAAGGAGTTTACTCGTTAAGAAAGATTGTCTTGGAACAGGAACACAAAAATAAAACTTACTAAATTAATGAAAAAACCGATATCTTATTGGCGCTAGAAATACTGGAGAAAAACGGATAAACAAAAAGTGATCAGTTGATTGAAAACAAAAAACAATAGAAATCTTCAATGCTTTGCTTAGAAATAGGGAAAAACGTTATTGTATTTTCTATTATTTATTACTAATTGAATAATTTACTGATAAAGTGTGCAATTATAAATTTTTATGTGCAATTAGTAAGTAATTAGGAGCACTTATTCATTTTTTTTCTGCTGTTGCGGTTCTATATTAACTTTTTTGTTCTTTATCGATTATCACAAAAACATGAATTTACTATTACTAATTGTCGGTAATATGAGAAAATAATTTATCAGCTAAGTTATCAAGAAATTTATTTTGGGTAATGTGTTATCTTTCTTTTTGATAAGAATATAATTCTTTGTAAATATTTTAAATTAATCTGTTTACGACACAAAATAATTTGTACAATGAATTTTCATTATTAATTTAACGTGTTTTCTAAATTAATAGATATTATGTAATTGTAAGTCTAGAAAGATTACAAAATAGTATTATTTTCCACGCCTGTAGAATTTTTACTGAAAATTAATTAAAATTATATGTTAATTATATTGGTTTTCTTAATAATTAAAATATTTGTGATTTTTGATAAGAAATAAGATAAGAGAAATATACAATTTTATCTTTTTAATGTTTTGACTATGGAAAGTATAAAAATAGAACAAATTTAACGGTTGGATCAATAAAGGAAACAATTAGAAATTAACATGATTTGTAGTATTTAATTGTTAACAAAGAAATACTATTTTGAGCTATTTGTTAATAGATAACGAAAAGAATTGAAACGAGATTAGAAACAAAAGATTTGAGAAACGATGATTGGACATTCATAAGCGCGCGGATTAAAACTGTCCAGTCGTTACCCAGCTTTCTGAAGAAAAGCGTGCTGTCATCACCGACGCATTTGTGTTTGGAAAACGCTCATCGATTGTGAAAAGCTTTATGGTAACAATGATGTTCGTATTATAATATTGCATTTAACGACATGCATTATTAATAAACTTATTCAAATGATTGTTAACACATTGCACAATAATGATTCGAAAATGTTTTATAAGTAATGGTCAAAATTTATTAATAATTTATCAAAATAAATTAAAATTAACATCACGAAACAATATATATTTTTCAAATAAATAATAATACATCTATTTATTGACTTTTATATACAGATTTTATTGTTTACGGAATCAAGAATGGAATATAAATGAATGGAATATCTTTTAAATAATGAGAATTAATATAAATGCAAGAATAATAAGTTGAAAGAGAGAATTCTAAATAAAATTATATTATTTATTATTTATTAATAGTATATTGACACACAGAATATATAGATTGACAAAAACTTCAAATGTCTCTTGAAGATGATTTTGAAAGACCATTCGAGGAATTTGAACCTTTACAATGGGGTGCTCTTAGAGAATTATGTCATGCTAACAAAGACTATTTTTCAACGCATCAAGATGAAAATGGGTCAAGAATCCGAGCTAGCCTTTTGGCAATATTGGATCACTTAGAAAAAATGCAACCGTTATACAAAGAAATCTCAAAAATTGCACCGATGTTTGACTTTGATGAACAAACTCCAGGAAATGGATATAGAAGTTTTTTAGTATTAGTTGACAGAGGTATTATGCACTCTGGTACTGTATGCCGTCAAATGTATTGTCAAAAAGATTCCTTCCTATTTCGTAAAAGTTATTATATGCGGTAAATAATTTTTCTTATATCCTTCACAACTATTTTTTGGCATGTATTATTTATATATAATTTAATTATTAATTTTATATTTATTCAGCGAAGTTGAAGCTTGCTCTCAATTGTTAGCATCTTTGTACACTTGCCTACAATTTTTGAAAACACTTTTTTCTTGGAGTGATCGAACAAAGGATGGAAAATTATCTCTGTTCTCTTCTAACGAACACAGTCCCCAAGAACTTTTAAATCAAACGGAGATTGTTAATCAATACTGTTTTTATGGTAGATGTTTAGGATTCCAGGTATTCAAAAAAATTCTTATTATTAATATTATTATGAAATCTGACACATGAGATTAAATATTAAAGAATCATTACAAATATTCTAGTTTGGTGATAATATAAAACACATTTTAAAAACTATATCTGTCTGTTTGGCCTCGTTCAGCGAAGTTTATTATTCTAATGGAACATTATTTGGGCGATGCGCTAATTCCTTAAAATATGTAATGGATCCAGAAGCAAGAGCACGTCGTATTGTCCATGTATCTCAACATGCAGATGTTTCATTCTGTCAATCTTTCTGGTTTTTGAATGAAAATGGTAAAACCTATTGTAGAATTTAAAAAAGAAAAAGTCAAAAGTATTGTATTATATTATGAATTTCAGAAATATTATGCAGTTCAGTATCAATGGTCGTACCATTAAGTATAAATCAAGTGATATCTATACCTCCTGAAGAATTAACACTCGATACGCTTGATGGAGGAAAGATTTCTATTCCAATACCAAACAGTCATATTGGAAGAAAGCCGATACATGTCCGATTACTTAGTGCTGTGCGTCGTGTTGGAATGGTATAAAAATGATTTACTAATCATAAATTGTTTCTATTTTATTTTTTATAGACAAGATAAAAATATTTTCTTTCAGGTTGGGTCAGCAGGTACTGGAGGGGAATTACTTGGCCTATCTGAAAGCTTGATTATTCATTCTCATGGAGGAGGTTTCGTAGCACAAACTTCCCGTTCACATGAATCGTATTTACGAACATGGGCAGTAAAATTAGGTGTACCTATTTTAAGTATAGATTACAGTTTAGCACCAGAAGCACCGTTTCCTCGTGCCCTTGAAGAAATATTATATGCTTATGCATGGTCATTGAATCATGCCAGCACATTGCTTGGAAGTACGGCACAAAAAGTAATCCTTATTGGTAAAACATTTTTACAATATCTCGAAAAAATATAAATTTATTTGAATGTATTATTAGAGTTGAAATTATTTCACAAATTATTCGTAAAATAACATGTTAACAGGGGATTCCGCTGGGGCTAATTTGAACTTAGGAATGACTTTAAAATGTTTACAAATGAATATAAGAAAACCGGATGGTATTTTTATGGCATATACACCAATTTTAGTAGAATTTGTAACATCACCATCACGATTATTAAGCCTAACAGATCTGTTGCTACCTTTTGGTTTTATGATGCGATGCCTAAAAGCTTACACAGCGTCAGATAATAAAAAAACCATAGGGTAATATTAAAAATGATTTATAGTACCTAAATACAATTTTATTTTATATTTTTTTAAATGACCAGAAAAATTTTTAATGGAAATACAAACAAACTTTTTTTTACAGTCCTAGAGAAAAAAGTCAAAGTGGCGATGAAGTCGTAGAATCGGAAACTGAATCGTTTGCAGAAGTTAGTGAGAGTGATCTCATAGCGTTGGCTCTTAGTCCTAACGGGGATGAAACGAACGATGCACATAAGCTTGCCTCACTTCCATCTGACTCAACATTAAACTCTGTAAGCCTAGCAGATGTTGACGGTATGTACAATGTTAAACAAATTAATGTTGTAACGCATATTATCAAATTTAAGTAATATTTATTTAGTATAGTATTAAAATAAGTGTAAAAAAGTTATTTATTATAATACTAGGAATAGATCATCCAAAACAAGAAGTTAAGTCACAAGAATATATCCAAAGATTTTTAGAAATGTATAGAAACTCAAGCGTATGTACTTCGGTTCCTGTATTAAATAATTATAATGGTACAGATGACAATCCTCCAAGCAATGGCAAAACATGGTCATTTTTTGGATGGCCTCTTGGCGGAGATAAAAGAGAAGTTAGAGAACTCGATATGGAAAGAGCAAAAAGTCCTTCCGAAGAATTCGCATTCATTGTTCCCAAAGATCCATTTTTAAGTCCATACCTCGCATCGGATGATATTTTAGCTCGTTTTCCGCCCGTAAAGATTTTAGTGAGTTTAATGTTGTTAAATTTCCTCATTAAAATTTATTTTATTCGTGAAAAATTATTAACACTCGGATATCGTCATTTTAGACAATGGAACTGGATCCTTGTCTCGATGACTGTGTCATGTTTGCAAGAAAATTAAAATTGCTAGGAAATTTAGTGACACTCGATATATTATCTGGTTTGCCTCATGGTTTTCTCAATTTAGCACCAGTGAGATAATTTTACTTGATTACCTGTACATAATAATATTGATAAATATAATATAATATTATCTCATTTTATATAACTTTTGTAGATCTCAAAAGAAGCGTATGAAGGCTCTGAAGTTTGCATTAAAAGGATCTTGGAATTATTACAGCTTTAATTTTATATACATATATGTAAAATTATACACGTGTGTATATGCTAAAAAGCTTTGTTAAAAATGTGATAATCTGTAAAAGTATTTTCCACCTGGCTTGCAATTATTCAGAGAATGTTCAAATTGATCTGCAAGATCTGGTAATGTGTATATAAAATTTATTATCTACGGTGATTATTAATTTCTAATTTATGTATTTTGTAATGTATTTATATGTGGTTACACGTTATTTATTAATTATTTTGAAAATTTGTATTTTGCATATATATATCTTATTTATTTATTTATGATTTTATAAATATAACTTGATTAACTTAATTATTTCCGTGTTTTTAATTTGGATTTAACTGTATGTTTAACATATTAAATGCTACGTTGATTCCTGTGGACCAATTTTGAACTTTTTGTTCAGGTCACATTTGTTGAAATTCTTATGTTTTTTTATGGTTGACAAATCATTGTGGCCTGAACGAAAAGCTCAATGAAAGAAGTTTGGTACGTAAGGTGTTAATCAAATTTTTCTTTAAATCTATGCATCCCTTTATAACGAGTCTCTGTCTATTTAATAAGTACGGGAAAAGATGATATATCGGTTGGTAGACAAAGATGAAAATATTTGTTTAGATTTTTATATTTGTATTGTTGTTTATGTACAGGTGACTCCGTAACATTAGGTGCAACAGTAGATGTAATAACAAGGAGCTTCTTTATTTATAGAATTAAAAGACAAATATAATTTTGCGATGGCAAAAGGAAAAGGATGAAGAAATGATGTAATGTACAAGAGGAATTGAATTAATTGATTGTCTGTTGACTCGTTTGATTAGCTCGAGGTCGCAAAGTTTTCTGTAAAACATGTGCATCTGCAGGTTCTATTCTTTTATAATAATGTTGTTTAGTTTCCACTATTTCGAAGCCAAATTTTTTATAGAAATCAATAGCTCCTTCATTACTTATTTGAACGTGACTAGGAATATCGATACATATTTATTAAAAAATTATGAAAGATAAAATATTTCATGAATACTTGGTACGCATACTTACAGAAAAATAGAGTCAAAGTTTCCATCCTTATTAACATACTTTAATACATGTTGTACCATGACCGTCCCTATTCCTAATCTCCTATAAGGATATAAACATCCTAAAGTCATAATATATAATCGTCTAGAGTTTTCCGAAGTATCTACACGGCAACAAACAGCACCAACCTATAAATACAGAATATTATTCTTAGACAATTAAACTAACGAAAAATACAACATATATATATCAAAATAATTTTTCAAACATATAATCAATGTTAATGTAAATAAATAAATAAGTAGAAAATTCAATTACCACTATATCATTGTAATAGGCTAGTTTGGCTAGTTCCCCTGCTTCTAAAACGTCCTTATAAAATTTTTCATTATACGAAACTGGAAAGACCACTTGATTAAGGAGTTTAAGTTGTTTAATATTATGAGGCGTTACATCTCCCAATTCTATCTTTGACCTGTAATGAACCATGAAATACTCCAAAATTCTGTGTTCACCTGCTATTACAGTATCTTTATATCGGGCTGTTACAATCATTATTATAAGCGTTTACAAATGTTAATAATTATTATTATCTAGAGGTTTGTTAGTCGGATTTATTACTATTAATAATAATAAATTACTTTTGGAAATATATTATTTATTAATTAAATATACAAAACGACTCGTCGAGGATCACCTCAAACTTATCACAATTTACCTAGTCATATTGGCCAACAATAAACTCCTCGCGGAGGGATAGTTTTAACCTACTAGCGATTGGTCGCATTGCTAACACCATTTTATGCATTCATTTGTTGCGCGCGCATCACTTTTACCCGCCAGTTTCCTTCCATGTCAGTTATTTTGATCGGATACTTTGATTATTATATAATTTGAGATAAGAAAATAAAATATATTATATAATTATGGATTTTTCATATAAGTAATATTAAATATTTAACAAATTTCAAATATAACATTGATTAATTATTAATTAATATATTAAATATATAATTAATTTATGTGCTGATACAAACAAATATTTACGTTTATACCAAAATTATAAAAATAACCAACTTGACAGATGAAAAAAACTATGTAACTATGGTTGATCGTACCCTAAAAATATTTACAACGCTTAACGCGTATTGGCTGATATCATTAAGCTGTATACTCACTCGACTAATTTAAAAATTACGTCACGAGCGTAAGACTTTTTTATTATTATTATATTTAGATGATATATTAATCGATGTTTTGTAATAGGAGTAAAATATTTTTCCCCTAATTTCTGCTCGTTACTATATACGCTGTAATTGGCTTGCATTTTTTTGTCTTGTTCTTTTTAATGTCGAATTGTTGAGATCGTCAAAAATGACTTTTTAATTTGGAATTTGCATGTGATTTCCCGATATGGTCGCGACGTCGCCATCTTAAATCTAACGACGTCATACCATAATCGAGAAAAGATTTTTAGTAAGACGAAAGTCAAACGTGGCAGCAGTTGGCCTTTACAGATAGTGAATGTATGAGAAATTCATAAATCCATCTTCAACACATTTTCCGAGTATTTTCACCGGTGGTTTAATGCACCAAAGACGGTCAATTAACAAAGCTAAAATAGTACGAAAAATATTCAAAGCCAGGCATGAATTTTGGAAGTGTAGAATGCCAATGATATCTTGAAAATAATAAACGTAGAGGCGCCATTGGTACGCGCCATCTGGATATCGTCAAGAAGAAGTTATGGTAGTGAGAAATTGGAAAAACTTTCGAATAACGCTTGTTACTTTTCGTAAGATCGTGTATCAAGAGGAGAAACTTATAATTTGAAACTGGTATAACATCCTCTTGTAAATATAAAAGTACTTATGAATATAATTTTCTAATAGGAAACTTCTAACTGTTTCTTAACCTCTAAACGATTTGAATGAAATTTAAGAATTTTCAACGTTTGACATTGAAATGAATTAAAGACATTTATTTGTCTTTTAATACAATAGTATTATACTATGAGAAAATGAATGATCACATTATGAATAAAAATAACTGATTTGCAGGAAGCACTTATAATTATTAGAAATAATTATTTGAGATGCCATATAATTGAATATTAGCAATGGGAGAACTTGTAAAAGTCGTCATCAAACATACAGTTAGATGATATTGTATGTTTAATATTTTTTCATTTTAGTCTTTAATTGGTATCAATACAGTATTTGACAACAATAAAAGAGAGTTATTGAAAATAATTATAAATTGTTATATTTAATAATATACAATTTGAAATACTTTATAAATAATTTGTTGTGAAGTATTTTATTATTCGAGTATTTAAAGTTTCTGTTTTTTAATTTGGTTCCAAGAGCAGTATAATATATGAAGATTTAATTATATATATTTTTTATTTAAAATTTATATTTTGTAAATACATTTTTTTTTACATTTATAAATATTTATATTTATTATTTTATGATTTCAGATTATTATGCCAATGCAGATATGCATTAAAGTGTTGCAGTTCATTTATAAAGAATATTATTATTTCAACTGCACGCGCGCGTGTTATTTTAAAATGAAAATAATAAATAATATATTAAGAGAATAAATGCATTCGTGAAAGGATCATTTCTAATGAAATAAATATTAGTTATAAATATGCAGAATTCAACTAAGCTTAATAGAGATCACGATTATGGAGAATTAATGACAGAAAATCATAATTATATGAATACCAGTGCTCAGAAAGATATGTTAGAAAATAATTTATTAAAAACCGTTTTGAAACCTATGAAGGTATCTTCTTTGACAGTAAATAAAGATACTTTAGGTGGACAAGTTAAGGATATAAATGAGTTAAAAAAAATAACACCTCGTGTAAAACTATTGGCTCATGATGTAAATAGTTTGAAGGAATTAACTAAAATTTCTTTGCAAAGTAAATCATTAGAATCAGACAAAATTCAAATGTTTGAAAATACTAAGCAAGAATTAAAAAAGTACTGTCGAACTTGTGCCGGTTTGAAGTTTCCTTTGGTCGATATCTTCAGTGAAAAAGGTATTCAAATGAGGCTAAGTCAACAGATCAAACATTTAGAAGAAATCAATTCTCACGACAGTTTATCTACTCAAATGTGTATGGATTGTATTTGCGATTTGAAAATGAGTTATAAGTTTTATATGCAAATTAAAAAAGCTGAAATTAAGTTAAAATCGCTTTATGTTACAATAACCGACACAGTTGCACGTAACATAGAAGCGGATAAAATACAATCTCTAACTAACAGTCAAAAACTGGTAGAAGAAATTGATGATTCCTCTATGGTGCCCATATCAACGAGCACCGACAACGAAGAATTTGTTCCAAAAATATCCGCTATTTATTCTTTAAAAGATGTGAAATCATCACCTCCGGAAAGAGAGGAAAAAAATAATTCTGATGTAACATGTACAATTGAGCCTGAAATTTTTGAAGATGTTGCAGATCAACATCAAAGTGATGATAATGAATCTATCGAAGAATTTGATCCGGATGATCCACCATTTCAACCCGATAGTTCGGATGCTGCAGAATCTGATGATGAAATTGAAAGTAGTCACACGGATAGAAAACGAAATACGTCTAAAAAGGATAATATAAGTAAAGTAAATAATCAATCTTTTTTATTACAAAATTCGTCAGGTAGTAATTTAATGCAGAATCAAGATGATGCAAATCAAGATGATGCAAATCAAGATTCTAATCAAACTGTATATAAATATGATATGGCATTAAAGGCTTATGTTAAATTAGATACTCCACAAGATAATTTAAATTCCAAATTTCAAATTAATCAGAAGATTGATATAAAAAATAATGAATTTGGGAAAGATACTCCAAAACAACCAAATATATTAAAGCGCAGGCTTTTGCAGCAAACAAAAAAGGATAATTTAGGAAATAATGATGAGTCCAAATGTTCTATCACATCTGATATTTCTGAAAATCCGAAAGATTCGAAAATTCCAAAATTAGATATGCAAAACCCTTTAAACATTAACGATACCCAAGAAGATGGAATTATGTACGTCACTGTGAAAGGTTCTAAACCGAATGAAATATTATTGGTAAAGGTTAAAAAAATGGATAAACCGCTTGAAAAAAAGGACGAGAAAAATATGAGTAAAAGGAAATCATTTGACTTTAAACCAGTTGGTAAAATTTTGAAGAGATATGAAGCTTTAGCGACAAAAGAAAAGAATTTATTTACAGAACGTACTAAGAAATTGGATAAGAGAGAACAGATAATAGAAGAGCAAATAGAAGAATATAAGAAAAAACGTGAAAAAGTTCTGGGTAGTCAACCAAATTTACCAATAAAAAACGAAGATACTCAGAATCGATTTGTTAAACGAGTAGAAAGTTCTGACGATCAAAAAGCGCATATATACGAAGAAAGTAATTCCAATTTAAAAGTAGAATCTGATGTTGATAGTAGTACTATGAATAGTGTTATTATAAAAGACGAGAATGTTTCAGATGTTTCAGATTTTCAACAGAATCAGTCAGCTTCAGAGAAGGCATATGTGAATACAAAAGAGTACTTATCACGTTTAGCTAAACTTAAATTAAAATGGGAAGAGGCAAAGAAAAAGAAAGAATACTTACAAAAAGAACTTGACCAGTCTTACACTGAGGGAAACATGGAAAAACTATCACGGATTCTAGGAGAGAAAGAAAAAAACTTACTAGAATTTCAAGATTATTTAAAGCAAAGAAAAATAGTTATTACCAGATTAAAAGATGAAGACATCATTTCCCTTTACGAAGATAGAAATAACACGTCTCTTCAAAAAAGTTTACCCGACTTGATCGATGAAACAACACCAGCAGATTATATACCAGAGGAAAATTATTTAGAGTGTGATTATTGCCCTGAAACATTTGCTTCTAAAGAAGTACTTGAGGATCACATAAAAATGCACGATTTTAAAATAATGCATTATTGTGAAGATTGCATGGAGGAATTTCCTACAAATAAAGCAAAAAAAAATCATAATATAATATGTTTTAAAAAATTATTATGTAAATATTGTGATATGATATTAGATTCGAAAGGCAAAAAGAGGCAGCACGAACAGAAACATTGTGATAATCTGTTTGGCCAATTGTGCGAGTTTTGTGGTGAAAAATTCAAACATCAGGGGACCCTCGATCAACATGTTAAAACGCAACATATGAACTGGGAAAAGATTTTTCAATGTACTAAATGTCCGAAAAAATTTGCGTTCAAACAAAAATTGAGTTTTCATTTAAAATCTGTCCACACAACGTTAAGAGCTTATTTGTGTGAAGATTGTGGGGCTGACTTTAAAAATCCTGCCAGTCTGAGACATCACCGTATTCGTAAACACCAACCTGTAGGGAACAAAAGAGAATGTCCAGTTTGTCATAAATTAGTACCATTTTATAGTCTTTCTAAACATATGTATACTCACAAAGCCTATACTATACAATGTCCACATTGTGATAAGATGTTTAAAAATAGTTCAACATTAAAACAACATGTAAGAATACATGAAGATCAACGACAATATCGCTGTGATACTTGCGGTGTTGGATTTAATAGGAGGGATGGATTAAGACTTCACATGAGAGTTCATGAAAAATCTGATAGTAGAGGATTAAAAGAATGCTCATGCCAAGTATGTGGTGAGAAATTCCCAAATCATTCTACACTAGTTATACATAGAAATCGCGTACACAAAGATGGAAGGCAATATACATGTCATATATGCAATAGATCTATGATTTCAGCAAGATCATTAGAATGGCATATGTCTCATATACATAACGAATCACTTCCTGGCATTGTAAAAGAAAGTGTAGATGGTTTACAAGAAAAAAGAGTTTCTTGTTACCATTGCAGTAAAACTTTCAAAACAGAAATGATTTTAAGAACACATATTAAAAATACTCATATGGAGAAAGACCCTATGAAGTGTTTGGATTGTGATATGACATTTACTTCTGAAGTTAGATTGAGGCATCATATGATGGTAACTCATAATAGGCTGGAAGGCACATTAGCATGTCCTCATTGTCCAAAACGATTTGTAAATCAGCTTAGGTTAAAAACTCATATGATATCTCATTCTGAAGAAAGACCGTATACATGTGAAATATGTGGATTTAATTTAAAGACTAAGATTCAACTAATCAAGCATCATCAAAACAGACATAGCGATGAAAGACCTTTACAATGTAGATACTGTCCATGGAGGTGTAAACAAGTAAGCGCACTTGTTTGTCATGAAAGAACTCATACAAATGAACGACCTTATTCGTGTAGTGTTTGTAGACAACGTTTTAAATATTTGGGTGATAAGAACAAACATGAAAGGCGTCATGAAAGTTTAGGAGGATCAGGATTTAAACGAATAGTACCTGGCAGAAATATTAAACATTCTAAGGTTCAAGGAGAAACTTCTGGTTCTGAACAAGAACAAGAAGAATTAACGCATGTAGATTCGCAGCTTACAGAAAGCCAATACGAGGAACAAACGTGTCAACCGTTTGAAACAAAATTTATCAAAGAAGAAATCGTTAAATTTGAAGAACCTGAAATTGCAGAAGAATATGAGCAAGTCTATGAACAGGTATATGAACAATGTAAATCTACAATATGTATAAGTAAAAACTTATTAATTAATTTCTTATTTATATTGTAGGATTATGAAGAAACATCGAGAGAGGCTTCTGAAGCTGCCGAAGTTATCATGAACATGGAAGACACCACTGTATACACGGAAGAAGTAACTGCCGACAACATTGAGACGGCAGAAATAATGGCAAATGAAATGATGACTAACGAGATTTTACAGAGTGGAACTGTAGTACATTTGCAACAACAAGATGACAATGGAAAAATTCAAGTTATTCCTGTTATGCTATCTTTGCCTGATTTATCTGACACAAACACGGAAGTCAATTTAGCAACAGCATCAATAATGTATAACAATTAAAACTAATAAGTTGATTACTTCTAACTCTACGAAAAAATGATACTTGCAAAATTAATATTTTGTGACTCGAGATAAAATTATACAATGCTTTTTTATCTGAAGTAGTCACATTCCTGTAAAATAAATTCAGACTGTTTCCTGTATTAATGTGATTCTTCGAATAACGATTACATGAAAAGAGAGTATGATATTTGCATATTTGGTAACATAAAGAACGATTATTCGCTGCTAAAGTAGTAGTTTTTTTAAGATCATAGGTATAAGATTATGTTAAAATTGTAAAATATTATAAAATAATAGCTTCGTATTTACGATACACATTCAAACACAAGTTTATACAATCTGCAAGTTGTAAGGAAATAAATGAAATGTGAAAAGAAAGAAAAAAAAAAGAAATATACTTTACATTAAAATAGAATCAATAATTATTACTGCTATAAGGATACTATGTACAAATCTAAAGAGAAGAAAGAAAAAAAAATAATAATAAGAAGAAGATATATAAGAATGTTAAATATTAATGCAATGTTAGATATTCATTTATAAGTAAGATCGACAGTATATCACTAAGCATATATTTGTATATTTGAGACACCATGTCCATTTATCAAACTTGCTTATTTCATTAAAAGAAGTTATTGTGGAATATCTTTAAAAAGAAAATATAACAACAATAACATATTTGTAAACACAATAGCTTTGCAAGGAAGACATAATAATAAATCCTTTGATATAGATAGTATATATTTTAAATATACAATTAGAGTAAGATAAAAGGTACGAGTTTATAAAATATTATTCTGTAATTATGTTACAAAAACCAAGATTTTCTCATTAATATTATTGCTTTTGGATAAGTGGTACAATTTATTTGAATTAACTATGTTGATTTCTTTATATGTAATGATTATACTGTAGAAAAAATATTTGAAAATTTTTTTGCAATGTGTTTTATAGATATAATTTCATAAGAGAAGATAAAAGAATTACATATTTGTAATTTATTATACAAATATATTAAATCGTCTATCACAATATCTGACACAATTATGATTAATATTCTTTGCCTGTTACTATATTAAAACTTTAATAATTTTTTTTTTATCTTTTGTCTTACACATTTATTATTTTGATTTATTTCTTAGAAAAAGAACAAGAGCAGTATTGATTCAATTATATGTTGATGCAACAGATAAAATATGCTGAAAAATATCGTAATTTATCTTATCATATTTTTTTCATTGTTTATTTTAAAACTTTGTCTGTAAGTTATCGAGGTAATAAAAAAATATTTTCAATATTTAAAGTTTTTTGTTATTATGTTGTTATTTTAACAGCTTTTGGAAAGCTAAAAATATATTGTGTGCATATAATAATGTTTATTACTTAGTAATTGTATACATTGAATTATTCATTTGTACATAATTTAATATAAATTTACTTCTTTTTAATAAGTATTTTGTAGCTATAATTTTTTTTTTGTACCTTATTACTACTAAAGCCTATGTATATTATCAACATTTGAAATAATTTTTACTATTACGAAATATATCTCACACGTTTCTTTTTTTTCATTGATACATATACATATGTAAAATATATATTATATATAGAAAATATCGTCAGTTTCTCTGTAGGTAAAAAATAAAATTTACTTACACATTGTGGAATCATTGCAAGTATCAAACTATCTAACGAAGGAATAAATCCCCGATATTATGCTGTACAAGAGGAAAATTTATAAACGTACATGTATAAACATGTAATCAAAAGCATATTTCTTCTTTGCTCTTACTCTTTGTATATAAAGTTGTAATACATGTGTTAATCATTGTAATACTTTAATAGAATAATTGCACTGTATTATTAAGTGGTCTAATTAATAGACTACTATAAAATGATATCTAATTCTAAGTTAATTTAAATTAATTTTTATTACCACTTTGATAATATTGTGCGAGAATGCTCCATGCTTTTGGAGACATAAAACCGTCAGGTGGACATTTCCCTGCTTTGGCTAAATCTATAATAATAATGTATTTTTAATGAGAGATCTTTTTTAAAAATAATAAGTATAGATAGGTATATATTATTATTATTGTTGTTATTATTATTAAAAAGAAAATATTTCTTACCACGCATTCTGGTTCCTGATATAAAATCAAAATCTTGTTTCCGTTCTGAATTAAAGAAGGACATTTTCTTATTTTTCTTATCATAAGCGGCAACCTTAAATGGAATGATTTCTAAGCTTTGTAATCCTCGTGCTATTGAAAGAACTCTGGCACCATGAGTTGGATCATAGAGATTACCATCGGGTGTAGCTTTTTTATTCGGATGTGGTATACCAGCTGGATCTCTACCCACAATGTAAAAGTTAGCACCTGCATTCAATCTGGCTTTAGCATGCCATTGTACCTTAATAACAAATTTTATAATTAAATATATATATATTTTTTAAAGAATATCAATAATACAAATCTTCTCTTACTTCGACAGGACCAGCATACATCATAGGACTTGGAAAAATAGCTAACAAAGTAGAATTAGGATCGAGTATACCCTCTTCTAAAATAGCCTTATGTTGCATAATTCTTGTATGCAAAGGTACATCGTCTTCTTTCGTCCAACCTCCTAACGGGTGTAATAATAATATAGGATTTTTAAAACCTCGCTCCTCGAGTAAACGTTTTCTCGTATCCTATAAATAAAATATTCCATATAATTATAATTCAATATATTATAAAAGAGATAAATCTCAAATGTAAAATAAATAATATACCTGCATAAGTAAAGCATGACCGTTATGTATAGGATTTCTAAGTTGAAATGCGAATACTGCATCAGCTTTCATTTTTCTACATTTAGCTCGAATTTCGTTGGGTGTTAATCTGTATATATCAAGACCGTCATGCCATTTAATCCTTTCTAAAACTTCGATATCCCCACCTACCAACCAATCTCCTGATTCATAAATCATTTTAACATATGGATGAGCTAAGTTGTTAGTTCCAAATTGCCATCCACATCTTTCTTCTTTTCTATGAAAATAAAATTCCGGTCTTCGTAATATTGCCAAAGCTTTGTTTTTATGTTTAAGTGTTATCGCCGAATGTCCCTCCAAACGAATTTTATCAGCAGTACTTATAGCAAGAACTATAGGAACAGATTGATTTACTTCTTTTCCACCTTCTAGTAGACATTTCAAATGTTGCGTCTAAAAACATTTCCCTTAAAGCCTTCAATTGTGTTAAGAGAATACAGAAGCAGAAGAAGTAATGCTTATTTTATTTTTTATCGAGATATTATGTATCAGCTTTCTATAGAAGCATAAACATATATACATACATATATATACAGAAGAATTGTTATATACCTGTAGGTATTGGCTTTCTCTCATGAAACCGGTAAGTGGTAAAGCCCAGCCTTCTGCTAGAATTTGAAGCCATTGGGTATCAACTTTTGTTATTTCTATACTTTGCAGAGTATCTGCTTCTGCTTTAGCAGAAGCAATTCTGGATTCTGGAACAAAGAGTTCTCTTATAGGTGCAGTAGGTTTTGGTAATACTGGTATGATACACTGTTTTTCCAGAAGATCGATCACCGTTGCAGCTGATTCTTCTAAGGTACAGTTTTCTGTAGTTACCACTAAGTCAGGATTAATAGGTCTCTCGTACATTTGATCTATACCAGTAAAACCTTTAATAGCACCTTGCCGTGCTTTTTTATATAATCCTTTAGTATCTCTAGCTTCGCAAACATTAAGTGGAGTATCAACAAATACTTCGAAGAAAGGAAGATCCGAGGCTTTGTGTATTTCTCTTGCCATTTGTCTATCCTCTTCGAATGGTGATACAAAACTACATAAACAAATTTGTCCACTGTCTGCAAATAATTTTGCTACTTCCGCAACTCTTCTTATATTCTCTTTTCTATCCTCTTTACTAAAACCAAGATTGCAATTCAAACCACTCCTGACATTATCTCCATCGAGCCCATAAGCAGCAATTCCATGATCGACCAATATCGCTTCTACTTGAAAAGCTATTGAAGTCTTTCCTGCACCTGATAGACCAGTCAACCATACAGTACAACCACGAAAACCTCTTACATGACCTATCGCTTGACCACGTTTTGTTCTTGATACATGATGCGCCTGTTCTGACACATTGGTACATGACTAAAAAATATAAAATACAAAATAAAAAGATATTATTTGAATTAGTAATTTGTTATCTTATCTAATTTTGATAAAAATATGTAATTTGTATTAATTTAATAAGGTATAATGCTTATCTAATTTTTTGATAAGATATCTTTTTATCGTGTTACGTACCGTCATCATTTTTTTATGTGGATTTTCCATAATGCCATTCAATTTATGATTATTTTTTGCCTTTTATATTTCGATTTATCTTCCTGTTTATTTTACGTGCCAAACGATTTCAACTCTATCAAAATATAATATAAATTATATTTTATATCTTTAATAATATTCCATAAGATATGGAAATTTATTTATATTAATTCAGGACAGTAATAGATTAATTTACTATCTTTATGTCACCACACGATATATACTTATAAAGTTTAATATAATATTATTTGTGATTTTCTTAAAATAAGATCATATATTACACTGTATTATTGATACTATGTAAATTAATGATAGTTAGTGATAAAAAGTATTAATTATAAGATATCTTTGCAACCATACTTTACAACGTGTTTAACACGACTGCATCGATATAGATAGATAGAATAGTCATGCTCTACTCAACATAAGTTCAATATACACTGTTCCTTAACTTAAGTTCCTATTTGATTTCGTTCTATTACGCATGTGTAGAATGCCTACCGCGAATGCTCCTTGAATTTGATTATATTTTAAATCCTAGATTTTATATTTCATTTTTATTTTATCTAATTTATAATTTTTATAGATAAACTACTTTTAAATAATTGTACATTCAGTTAATTAATACATGTACATTTTTACGTAAGAATATTAACCAATATAGAAATTTTAATATTATTCTATATTTAAAATTGACGCCTCTTTTATCTGTCGATATAACAGATGCATTAACGGCAAAGATACAAACTGTGTTTATAAAATGTTTGACGAAATTTAAGGTTTATTTTACCCATCATTCGTTAATTTATTCATTTGCGGGAAACTCAAATGCATTGTTTGTGGTTAGAGATTATATAAATTAATGTTTAATAAACATTTCCAAGTCATTTTTTAATTACAAAAGATGATTAAAATTGTTAAATGTGGTGGTGTCTTCGTATCCCATAATTGGAACATTAATATTTATCATAGTGCACAATCTATAAAATCATTTAGTCAAAAGGTATGAATGAATGAATGAATTTCAAGGTTATTTTTTTATTTGTTTAATATAATTAGTTGTTTAATATTTTTATATTTGTTGCTATTGTAGTTAGCAAATACTGAATATTCAAGAAGAATATTTTCTGGGATTCAACCTACCGGTAATGTTCATTTAGGAAATTATTTAGGTGCAATAAAAAAATGGGTTGAGTTGCAAAATTCTGAAAAAATGGTTATATGGAGTATTGCAGACATGCATTCTATTACATTATCTCATGTAAGGGATTTAAAATATTTGTAATATTTGTAAATAATACAGTATTTTTATATGTGTTTGTATATATATTATTTTTGATATCAACAATTTGTATATATTATATTTATTTTATAGAATCCTAGAGTATTGAGAGATAATATTTTCAAAATAACAGCTACGCTATTGGCATGTGGGATAGATCCACAGAAAAGTATATTATTTCAACAATCTAGTGTTTCTATGCACGCAGAGTTGTGTTGGATACTTGGCTGCATCACCACTATGGCTAGGCTTGGACATTTGCCGCAATTCAAAGAAAAAAGTGAAAATTTGAAGAACATTCCTTTAGGAATATATATCTATCCTGTTTTACAAGCTGCTGATATTTTACTTTACAAGTATGAATAATATCTTTGTTCATATTCTTCTAAGTTTTATAGATCTAGGTTTTAATTATATAAAATAAAAAATAGCAAATTCTAATATGCATTAGAGCTACGAATGTACCAGTCGGTTTGGATCAAGCGCAGCATATACAATTATCACAGGATTTAGCATATTCTTTTAATAAAAAGTATGGAGATACTTTTCCAATACCACGGACTCTTATTTGTAGTATGTAAATTAATATAATTAAATATATTTAAATAAAATAAAAAAAAGTACTTATATAATGATTGCATAAATTTTAGATGATGCAAGTTGCAGAATAAAATCACTACGAGATCCTACGAAGAAAATGTCCAAATCGGATAAAGATGTCAAAAGTAGGTTAGATTTGACAGATAAACCAGAAGTGTTGTTAGAAAAAATTAAAAAGGCTCTAACTGACTTTACATCTGAAGTAACTTATGAACCTGAAACACGACCAGGTGTTTCTAATTTAATTTCTATTCATTCTTTACTTACTGGAAAGTCACCCGAAGAGATCTGTAAAGATGCACAAGGTTTAAATACTGCAAAGTAGGTATTTCTATTTATATAATGTTGTTTATTAATCTGTTTTACACTATGATTTAATGCGTACTATATTTGATGCTATATTTTATGCTTCTTATATTTGGCCCATAAGGTTTAATACATTGTTATAGTACAGAGGATTAAAAATATTTGAGCTGTATTTTAATGTCTTTTTAATATTGTAGATATAAATTGCTATTAGCAGATGTAATAATAGAAAAGTTAAAACCAATTCAGGAAGAGATATTTAGATTATTAAATGAACAATTATACTTGGATGAAGTTTTAAAAATGGGTTCAGAAAAAGCAACAGAAATTGCATTTGATTGTTATTCTGACGTAAAAGATAAAATAGGTTTTAAAAGAAATGTAACAACAATGACAAATGAAATGGAAAAATACACAAGTGTACATTGATTGTATATTTAAAGGTAAATATTTATTATAAATAAATTATATATTTTTTTTCCTTTCTTTTTTTTTGTATGTAAGAGCGATAATATAAAAAAAATAGTTATAATAAATATTGTTTCATATCGATAACTAATTTACCTCGTAAATGACCTTCTGTTACTCTTTCATATGCTGTCGGTAAATCTTGGAAAGGATATACTTGTTTAACAACTGGTACTATCTGTAAAATATATTTTTAACGTAACTATTTATATAATTTTTATATTTAACCATAGAATTAAAAATGATCTAATACAATTATACCTGTCCACATTCAACAAAATTGTGAAGCATATTCATGCCTGTTTCCGATGGTACGAAGAAGCCCCATTTAATTGAACCTTTGTTATTAGATGTGGGAATATTATATCTAAATATGTCGCCAAGATTTTTAAAAGCTCCAGCTACCAATCCCAATTGATCGATATTTTTTAATAACGGGGAATTAAGTGTTATATAAGTATAATATGGGTAACCTTTTGAATTTATTAAATCCGGTCCTTGATTGGAACAATCCAAAATTATATCATACCTATGAGTAAAATTGATTTATATGTAATTGATGGTAACTATTGATAAAAATATTACAGGTTAGATGATAATAAATTACATACGGTCCTTCAGAAATTATTTGTGCATCAGCATCATGTTGTTTATAATCTATTACAACATCGGCTCCTAATTTCTCAACCATATTTACAGCATCGCTGCTACAGGTGGTTATTACCTAAAAAAATTTTGAGCAATTATCAATAAGAGAACAAGAATGTGATAGTTATACAATAACATAATATTACATGCATATTCCAAATTTTCAACAGTTGTATAGCCATAGTACCAACACCTCCAGAACCACCTAATACGAGCATCCTTCTATTTAATCTCGTATTGATAGATGTTTTGTAACACATACCACCAGTAATCCACAAAGCAGACCATGCAGTTAGTCCTGCATATAAAATACTAGCAGCCTCAATGTATGATAAATTTTTTGGGTATCGATTAGTCTACAATACATATAATTTATCATATAATTATAACTTAAAAATATATTTTATTATATGTATATATATTATAGGTCTAGAGAACATGTAGATATATTCATTACCAGGCTACTATCAAGAACCACATAATTAGCATGACAGCCTTGCTTATCGACTGGAACTACACCCCATACTTGGTCACCTAGTTTTAATTTGTCTCCAACATTATGTCCCTTTGATACTACAATTCCAGAAAAATCTCTTCCTAATGTTAATGGAAATTCAATCATATCATTGTACGTATAGCTACCAAAGTTTTTAACTTTGCGCATAAGATTCAACAATGTCGCACCGTAACCACCTAGCAGAAACATAATTATTTGAAATATGATAAAACGTAAAGAAATGTTTATGAAAGATAGTGATTTGACATACGGATCATTGCAATGTCTATGGGATTTACACTCGCTGCTTGAACTTTGATCAAAACTTCTGTTGGTTTAGTAATTATTGGTATTTTTACATTTGACAATTTTAATTCATCCAAATCACCATAAGAATGTACTTGCCATGCTAACATTTTATTATCTACATCTTCTTTGTATTTTGGTGACAATTGTGAGAGACATCGTAATTGCGTATCATTTATCATCCGTCTTAATTTTGATATATTCTTTGTTAACATTATTGATTATTACGGAATGAACTTTAAGTCAAAACACCTATGAAAAAGAGAGGTTAGCTTTTTACGGTAGCTCTGTTGTGAAACTTTGCGCGGCAACGTGCGTGCAGTTACAAATGCATCATCAATGTTATTAATAGAACTGCAACGACCACGGATAAAACGCGATTTATATTTTTAAATAAATACTAATTATATAATTTAAATAATTTATTACATTTTAATACACATACAAATGTTAGCATTATTAATTTGAGCATCGATTAATTTGATCTTTTTTTATTTTTTTAATATCATTGCAATATGATAAGCAGTGCAAACGATAAAGGAATTATTTTGTTAACAATATATAAAATTAGTAATTATATCATAATAATTTCATTGTAGTTAAGAGTAATATTCAAACGATTAGCTACGAACACTAATATTAACGATATATTATATCGTTAAAACGCAATAATTAATATCATTGCCGATTTGTATTATTTTCATGCTAGTAGTGCAGGGCGGGTGATGCATTAGTCAGATAAAATCTCCAATTTGAAGATAAATTGGAAAATCCGTCATCGGAAGACACGAAGGAATATAAATTTGATCGTTTGACAAATAGAACTCATTTGTAGTGATAAAAATAGTTATGAAAAAGAAATATTCGGTTCATTTTTCATATAGTATATAAAATTAGAGCATTACGTATATTACATAGAATTTATCAAACGCGCACGAGAAAAATATTTTATTCATAAGACCTGTGTGCATATTCAAGAAAATTATCAATTAGCGAAATTAATAAATACAAAAAAAAAAAAGAAACAGAAGAGAAAAACAAGAACAATCAATTATTCAAACGTGAGATAATAATAGAAAGTCGGATCAAATAAATTATATAATATTTTCATTTCTTTTTTTTTAATCCTTCAGCTTGATCAGCCCCCGTCGTCTCCATTCATCGTTACGGACAATCTCGTAATACGAAATTAATTTCGTAGGTGGATGATATGTGGGTGGGTTTGTCCTTCTTTTTTTTTCCTCGTGGGAGTGGTAAAAAAGAAAGAAAAAAATAGAGAGAGAGAGAGAGAGAGCAAAAGGTAAAAGGGGAGGCAAGGAAAAAGCAAAAAAAAAACAAAAAAGGAAGGAAGGAAGGAAGGAAAGGAGAAAAATAGGGCAGAGGTCAGGTTAAAGGAATATAGAGTTACTCCCGGCGAGATGGGAGTAACGATAAGCGATATCCCAGGCACGGTCCTTGCCCCGTATCGCGAGCATTCGCCCCTTTTCGCGTTGCACCTTCGTACGATCTCTCGTACGGTATGCGCGATTGCACCGGTCGGGCTAACGCTTAAGGGGTAGAAGAAGGTTCGTGGTACAAGAACAGGGCGGGGGAGGGGGTTGGTTTGATGGGTGTTGGAAAAGTGAGTGAGTGAGAGAGAGAGAGAGAGAGAAAGAAACAAGATTTGCGAAGATAAACTCGTACTCGCAGGGGTAACGAGAAAGAGACGGAAACGTTGGTGGTCCGCCCTTTTATCATAGGTAAATGCGATAAAGCGCATGCCCGTCATTGATCGCCGATCTCTATGGTTACGCCTCGCTATAGGAAGCACGAGACCTACGACGAAGACGGCCGTGACAGCGACGACAACGACGTAGACGACAAGGACGAGGACAACAATAACAACGACAACGACAACTACTACGACGACGACAACGAGGACCAAGACAACGACGACGACTAAGACGACGAAGACGACCAAGACGACGACCACGACCACGACGACGACGACAACGACGACGACGACGACGACAACAACAATAACGAAGAGAAGGTGGAGGTGGAGGAGAACGGAGGTGGTGGTGGCGGTTGCGCCGGCGACCGGAGCCGCGCGTAAGTTATCCGGTAAGTCGGAGAAGATCGGTGGTGATCGGACGCGAGTATTCGAGTTTTTCCTCGAATAAAGAGGGTTGCGCAAAGTGTGTCCACCCCGGCGGAGAAACAAGGGATTGAGGAAAAAAAAACGAACGAACGAAAGAACGAACGAACGAACGGATGGACGGAAGGAAGAAAGATATTACAGTGATTTTTGTTGGTGTGTAAAGAACGGGGGGGAAGGAAGGGAATAAGTAAGCAATAAATAGAAAACCGACTAAATAAACAAAGAGAAAGAGATCCGGTCAGTGATTAATTCCTCCTTTCTCCCTTATTTTTTTTCTCATTGTTGTTGTTGTTGTTGTTTTTTTTTTCTTTGTCCATTCTCCCTTTCTTTCTTTCTTTTTTCATCCCTCTCACATATCGTGTGCTAACAATCGTTTCGCAAGGATCCAACAACGATCGGGCGGGGCGCTTTTGGTGAAAGAAGGGGCCTCCGAGGGGCGGCAACAAAAACAGGCCGTTCTCGTACGAGGGTGAGGATGGACGGAGTGAGAGATATGTAGAGAGATAGGGAAAGATTGAGAGGAAGGGCAAAGGGTGAAGTGCGAAGTGAGGTGCCTAGGTGGAGGTGGTGGTGGTGGTGGTGTTGGTGTTGGTGGTGTTGGTGGTGGAGGAAGAGGAATAGAAAGAAAGAGGGAGAGAGAGAGAGAACTAGAGAAGAAGGGGGCTGCGGGGCTCGGAGGGGGGCTAAGAGCAGCCGCGAGGGGGCGCAAGGCAGACGCAGCGAGAGAGGATATTGACATTTTCGGCCGTGGGGACGCGCATTCGTGAGGGTGGCCAAGAGGGGTACGGGATAGTCGGCTCTCCGTCCGATCCTGCAGTATCCATGGCTACGCCGTCGGCGAGGATTTGGCGCAAAACACCGGAAATACCGTGTGCATGACTACGTTTACGACGGTGGAGGGCCGCGTACAAAGAGAAAATCACCGAGGGCGATTTTTGACGGCATCGACCACTTCGGAGATCGTCATTCGCCAATCGACGGTGGGTCTTTCGGTGTCACGAGACTTTTCTTGCTTCGAGAGAAAAGGGTGGATACCCACACCCCTCCGCCATAGTTGCGCTGACCCTCCCCTCTTTCCTTTCTATCTACTTCTCCTCATCTCTCTCTCTCTCTCTCTCTCTTTCTCTTTTACGCCTCTTCACTGTGTCTCTTTGACCCTCCCTCTCTTTCTCTTTATCCGTATATATAGGTATAAGTGTGTATATATATATATGTGTATGTATATGTATATGTATATGTATATATATATATACATATACACACGTCTTTCTCTCTTTCTCTCGTTCGTTCTACATCTCCCTTTCTTCGGCACCGTTATTGGAACGTAGCGGAGGGCCAGGTATCGCGACGCCTCGATACGCTCGAGACGGTCTTCTACCGTGGCGAAGACTTCGCCAACGGTGAGTCACCTTTTTTTTCTTCGAACGAGACTGGGAGAAAAGGGAATGGGATAAAGACAAGAAAAAGGGAAGATAAAGAGAAATAAAGAAAAAGAGAACAAGCGAGAGAGAGAGAGAGAGAGAGAGAGAAAGAAATGGAGAAAGAAACACCTTCGTGATATAGAGTGGTGCTACAAAAGAAAAGTGGTGTGCGATAAGGAAAGGAAAGAAAAAAGGCGGGTAGAAGAAGAAGAAGAAAAATAAAAAAAAGGAGGAAGGAAGGAAGGAAAGGACGAAATTGAGAGAAAGGAGGTTTCCTTCCTTTCGAAGGTGGGTGGTGCGGCGGGGCGTTGATCGTGTACCGGATGCAGCGGCTGGTGCATCGAGTCTGGTGCAGTGTTTACGCGAGCGACTAGGCGGAGCCGCGGAAACTTTCTTTTTTTTCTTTCTACTTCGTCTTATTCTCCTTCTTCATCATTATCATCATCGTCATCATCATCATCATCACCATCATCATCTTCTTCTTCTTCTGCTTTTCGTGATTAGTTTTTTCAAATTCGATAAACGATCATATTCCATTTAATCATCTCGTATTCTCTATTTTAATTTTCTATAATATTTCTTGTTTTCCTCCTATTATAAAAGAAAAACAATTGGAATAATCTTGAAAAATAATTCGTCGATGAGACATTACGTGAAAAGTGAACGAGGATAACAAACAAGGTGGAGCTGTGACGACGAGAATATTAAATCATATATCGGGAGTCGAGAGAGAAAGAGAGAGAGAGAAAGAGAAAGAGAAAGAGAAAGAGAGAGAGAGAGAGAGTCGACGCTCCCTGCAATGCGAGAAGGGAGCGGCAAGGAGTAAACATCGGTGATATTTCGGCCGAACCGAGTTCGACCTGCACCCGCCATTCATGCTTAAGCGCGGACGATGGGTAACCGCATCACCGCCGAAATCGATATAGAGTATTTAGAAAGCTCCTTTTACCCACGCCTACACACACACACGTTTATCCGGGCTCCTGTTTTCCTATTAACACATTCACATCAAATCGAACATTTCTTCTAAGATCTTTCAAATACGATTGATTTTCTCTCGCGCGTATACGCTCTGTGAAATTTATATACATTTCACCAATGATTTTAATGATAACGCAACAAATTTCCTCCATATATGTTTGTTTGTTCGTTTCATATATATAAAAAAAAAAAAGAAAAAACTTACGAATAATCTCTTTAAGATAGATTTGTTGATGTACCCCGTTATAGCCTTCCGTGACTTGAATGCAACTGTAAGGGGTCGACGAGTATATATATATATATATATATATAGGATTTACTTAGAAGAAACTTCTTTCAAAGTTAGATCCTCGATTGATAATCGATCGTACGATGATCGTTGATTTATCGCTTTGCGTACACACCTCCCCGGTATCGTAGATTTATCGTGATGACGCGATGTATTACGTAGACGAGGAGAGCCGGCAGTGGTTCAGTAACCCTCTCTCTCTCTCTCTAACTCTCTATCTCTCTCTATCTCTCTCGTGACGACGCCACCCCTTTTATTATCCGTGACACATCCACCCCGCACAGTGTTGTTGACCCCACACACCGAGCTTGATTACTGTGCCGCGATTAAAATTAATTTCTATAGTATAGGTACGATATGAGGTCTCGTCGATAAACAGCCAAAGGGCCACGATGACTCGAGCAAATCGATTAAACGCGATCATTAAGTTATCATAGTCGTGTTTTTATGACGTAGGATTAAATAGTAGGAGTAGTAGTAGTAGTAGTAGTAAGTAGTAGTAAGTAATAGTAACAGCAGCAGCAGCACCAGCACCAACACCAGTAAAAGCAGCAGCAGAAGCAGCAACAGCAGTGTTCCTAGTAGTTATGAACTATGTGTGGTCAGCCGAGGTTGACGATGATCGTTGATCAGATTTTTATGAAATTATTTCTCATTTGACGTGTAGATTTTATATATCACCCTTATGGGGTTTTAATATTATATTATTTTATAATCGATGTGTCTTTACGATTGCTTGTATGCTTCTTTTTTTTGTTTTGTTTTAAAGACGCGAGTAAACATATTATTTGAAATTGATACGTTAGGTTTGACCACACGTAGGATATAACTACTTAATAATTTTTCTATTTATTTTCATAATATTTTTTTTGTTTTTTTTCTATTAATATCATATCCATTGTTTACGCGTAAAACGAAACATTTCGATACGAAAATAGATATAAAATGTGAATGATCATTGATTTAATTGTTATTTATTTCTGATTGCAGTGATCATGCCACGAAGAAGCTGATGAATTTAGACGATCGCAATGATGTGACAATAAAGATACCTCTTTCTAATCTCGATTATTTCGGGGAATTGTCCCTGTTATACAGTGCTTCCCAAACCTCATACCATAAAGAGAACACGAAGATCGCTAAAAAAACTCCGGAAATGGTATTTCGAAACTGGTGCCAAAAGTCGACAGACAAGCCAAGTGAAATTCGCATAGTGTGTCAAAAATTAATACAAAAGGGAGACCTATAACGAAATACAAAGAAATTAAAATACAAGAAGAAAATACTCAACCGAAAATAATAACAAAAAAAAAGAGGGATAATAAGAAAACAAAGAAGAAAAGGATGAAAAGATAAGAGAGAAGAGGAACATACATAATATATATACATACATACATACATACATACATACATACATACACACATAGATACATATATAAATATATAAAAGGGTTTGTTTGTTCCGTGTGTCGTTAAGGGAAAAACAGAACTATAAAAAAGAAAAATTTAAAGAAAGGGACGGTGCAATATACAGAAATAAGAAAGGACGAAAAAGGAAAGAGAACCAAAAATTAATCAAACGAAGAGAGAGAAAGAGAAAGAGAGAAAGTAAGAAAGATCTGGGTAGAGATTGGAAGAAAAGGATTGTTGATTCGTGTGAAAGGTTTGGTGGTATTGAGTTGAGGTGGAGGGGACGTGAAAGAGGAATTAGAAAAGGAGTGATAGAATGGGCAACAAGCTGTCCTGCAGCTGTGCTCCTCTTATCAAAAAATATCGTTACGATGATTCCCCATGGCAGACCGGAGCCAGGGGTGGAATGGGCGGCGGTGGAGGGCGCAGGGGTGATACTGGCCACTTGCTCAGGTGCGGAAGCTTAAGAGAGAGGAAGAGGTGCGCATACCATAACCATTCAACCATTGAACCACTCCATTCAAAACCATGTTACCGTTTACTTTCTATCTTCGAAAAAAAAAAAAAACACTCGTACACACTTGTACTGAATGCATTATACTGACTTCTCTCTCTCTCTCTCTCTCTATCTATCTATCAATCTATCTATCTATCTATCTATCTATCTAATCTATCTTTTTCCACATCCCTCCCAGCTTTTATTTCTATTTCTATTTTTTTTCCCCTTTCATATTTTTCTCTTTCTTCTTTCTCCCTTCATTTTCCATCTCCCAAAGCCGAAACTTTTTCTTTTATTTTTTTTTTTTCCCCCAGCAGCATTTATAGGAGTGACTCGTCAAGTCGCTCATTCACGTAAATACTCCATCCACTTTTCCTCACCCTCCCTCCCTCCCACCCATCATCCCTTTTTCCTCCCTTCCTTCCATCCCTCAACCACCGAATCTTTTTCCCTCTATCGCGTTTGCTTGTGTTTTTCCATTTCTCTATTCTTCGGCTATCATTCTTTCCATTCTTCTTCTACTTTCTTTCTTTTTTTTTCTCTCTCTCTCTCTCTCTCATATTTTTTTTCCCTTTGCCTCTTCTTCTTCTTTCTTTCGTGCTCGTTGATCGAGTTTCTCTCGTCCATTCATCACACAGAGGACGGTTCACCTTTTTCACTAAGAGACCACGGTACATGTAGTAAACGTTGGAGTAAGCTTTTTCCCTTATGAATGTTTCTTTCACTTTTTCGCATCGTTCCACTGTTTGCTACATCTCACGAGCGTTCTCTCCGTTTTTTTTTTTTTTTAAATATATATATACATACCTATATACATATATATATATATATATATATATATTATATATATGTATATGTATATATTTAATAAGAAAAAAGATAGAAAAAAATTCCAAAAGAGACCTGACTCAACCATTGTTAAGCATCATTTAATATGCGTGCGTGTGTGTGTGTTTGTATTCCAACAATTTATAAGATCATTGAAATCCACATCATGAGAAATCTTTTTAATTAATTTATTAATCAAAAATATATATATATATATATGTATGTATGTGTATGTGTATATGTATATGTATATGTATATATATATACGTATATGAATTATTGATTTTTTATTTTGCTTTTAGGCTATATACTGAGATACGGAACGGTAGCGTACGCAATAGTATATTTCGTGTACTGTGGTCATATGCTCTCTTTTTTTCCCATATTTTCTTTTTCCGATACATTTTTTTTTCCTTCTCTATCGATAAGATTGAAATATCATTTTGAAACACTATCTTTTTAAATCAATTATCACTCACGATCTCTTTGTCATCGATTAATCGTAGGAGTATGTTTTTCTTCCTTTTTCATTTTATTACATTTTTTTTTTTTTTTATTTAAATAAACGATTATTATATTATTGTATTGAATTATATTTATCATTATACGATTACACACGCACATGGTAATTCCTATTCCACTTTCATCTATACACTTGCGCTTTATACGTTACTAGATCTACATATAAATAGAAAGAATATCATGTAGTATTTAATTAGATGCATCTTTAATAAACATTATCGTTGCATATTAAAATTCGTGAATTATTATATATCACGTTTATATATTTTTTCGTTATTTTCTTTTCTTTTCTCTTCTCTTCTCTCTCTTTCTCTCTCTCTCTTTTTTTTTCTTTTTTCTTATTCATGTATACTCATTACCGACTCGATGATAACATATAATATGAACCAAAAATAAAAATATGTAGTAGTATATCTGTTGCATCTGTGTAGATCAATTACCATTTAATAAGAATTTTATAATCAAAACGCACGTTTTTGAAAAATACCTTTATGTGCATGCCACGCCTATTAGTATATTAAACAATCTAAGAACCAAAGTTAAACTTTCTTTCTGATTGCAATTATATATTATTCCATATTTTTCTAAACGCATAACAAATTAATCAAAAAAATCTCTAATTATATAATATAATTTATATATAAAATTACAAAATTTTCTTTATAACAAGTTAACATTAATATTTTATTTTATATTTTTTCTTTTTTTCCACATATTTTTGTTATACAATAAATAATATCGAATGATAAACGATATGATATAGAAATAAAATTAATTCTTTTTGTTGTTTTTTTTTCTTCTTTTTATTCTTAACTTATTAATAAATAATTAAATGTCTTTAAATATGTTTCGTACGAACCTCATTCTCATACTATCCTATAGTTCCCGACTCTTGTTATTATTATATTCGGACATTGTGTATTAATGTGAATAATATTATTAACATATGAGATGAAAGGTGGTCTAATAAAAAGAGTTTTTAGGCTATGGGCCGAAGTATTCCATGTGAGTGCCAGTGGAGCCGGGACTGTTAAATGGCAGCAGATCTCGGAGGATTTAGTTCCTGTTAACATCACTTGTATCCAAGATTCACCGGAATGTGTTTTCCACATAACGGCATACAACAGTCAGGTCGATAAGATTTTAGACGTGCGGTTGGTACAACCAGGTAAATTCGTTAATATCGTATTCATATAATATATACACACACGTTACAAATATAGTAATATATATTAATCATTGTGTAATATTATAATATACTATAACAAATATATAATAGAATTTTCTTATTGAATATTTGATATTTTAGGTACAAGGATTGGTCAAGCGTCAGACTGTTTTGTTTATTGGAAGGATACTATGACAAACGATACATGGGGCTTAAATTTTACTTCCCCCATAGATGCTAAACAATTTAGAGAATGTTGCGTAAGTTTATGATAATAAATAAATTCGTTAAAAATATGCTTATTTCATTTTCACATTTAATCACTATTCAATCTTTTTCGCAAGAGAAAGAAGAACATTATCTTTATTTTAAGTGTGATTGCTTTAACAACGTTTAACGTTGCAATTGGACGAACGGCGCGAAGCTTTTCTTGAACAAATACAAATACAAATACAAATACAAAAAAGCACACGATCAATAAAAAAAATCGTGATCAAATCATTTGCAATCACTACTTAATTTTTCACGCAGTCACCATCGTTCAAGATTTCAAGGAAAGCGTCCTCTTCTTACTCGTTGAAGCTCGAACCACCGAACAAGCAGAAAATCAAGACTCGTCGAAAGCCTGTCTCTACTCCTGCATCGCCCAGCAGATCCAGGGAACCACAGTGTACGTGTATGGCTTCTGAACAATTTGCCAGATTACGAAGTCAAGATGCTAGATATCGTGGTTCTTGTGGTACAATTTTCTAATATTTTCTCTTATATACTTGGATTATTATTTATCTAAAAAAAAAGAACAAATTGGCTTAATAGTTCGTTCTATATTTCTATGGAATAGGTTCTTCGACGCTTCCAAGAACCATGGCACGATCAACGGAAATGGAAATGACACCTGGTCGTGAAAAAATAACGGCGGCAACATCGAGCGCATCGTTATACGATAATGTTAATAACGCTAACGCAACTCCAGGAAAAACGTCGAAAACTAGCGAGACGAGTAAACCGAAAGAGAAACAAAATGAAACGTGTCAGACAACACCTAAGACCGCGAACGTTGGTATTGGTACGGTTACTGTTGGATCTCAGGTAAATTTCGTGTGTAAGATGTTTATAATCGTTATTATAAATAATGATAATTGTAATTAACGAAATAATTATTATATCATTTGGTCGATTATTTTATTTTATTTAGATCGACAGTCCGGAAGAAAAAGGTTCGGCTATTTCGCCAAAGAAATCGCAAAAAAATCAAGACACGTCGACTCAACAGAACGGGACTGAAACGTTGAAATCCGAAGGGACCCAAGCGGGTGGCACGTTGCAGAATAAAACATTACGAAAGGAGCAGCTTCATCATACCAAATCCGCGGATTATACTGAACTGGAAATGCAGAACGGTAACATCTTCAATATCGTCAATAACAACAACACCGGACGAAAATTAAAAAGCAAGAGCACCGACGACATGAGAATCGAGAATGCACAAAACGGCGGAATCAGCTTAGATTCTAATACGCTGAAGAGAATGTTGAAACCAATGTCGAGCATCGATAGTCCCGTAACATCACCCGAAATGACGAGAAAGAGGCACAGTCATCATAGTTATCATTATCATCCGAGTAATAATAATCAGAAGTATGTTATGCCGGAAGCTGAAAACGAGAATTATTCTCATCCTTATCGTGCACCGTATAACAACAAGTTTCAAGCTTCTAGGAGCGTTCACGACATGGGTCGACAATATCCTGGTACACGTTCGACATTTTTATATTATATAATATTTTCTCAATTATTCATTCTTTCTTTTTTTTTTTCTTTTGTTCCCTTTAATTAATATTTATCATCGTTCAATATGTCTCTTACATCTTACATTCGAATATCGACAAACGAAACGAAGGCATCTTATTATTTTTTTCTAAAAACGTCGAAGCATTTAAATCAATTTATTTTTCTCATTGCTTGCAAATCATTCAAAAACAAAAAAAATGATTCGTATAATCATCTATAATAAATCCTAAAACACATGAGTTCGTGCATCGTGATAATCAATCTTACTACATTACCATTAGAATGCGATATAATCCAATCTAAATAACATTGCAATCAAATCATTTTCTCATATTCTCTCTTTATCTCGATCTAATATTGCACTTAATTATTTACGAATTTATCTTGCGTGCGTACGTCTCTCTCTCTCTCTCTCTCTCTCTCTCTCTCTCTCTCTCTCTCTCTCTCTCTTTCTCTCTTTCACATTTTTTCCTCGTGGATATTTTTTCTTTTTCTTTCTATGATATAATACTTGTACTACCTTCCTTTTTGAAACTATTTTTTGCGGTAACATTTAAGGTCAACATTACAGTAAAGTTAAAGGTTAAAAGTAATAGTTAATTGATAGACACGCCTTAGTCGATCGTTCAACCATTGTAATGCGCACCGTTTCCAATCCCTGCATGAAGCACATCTCTGTCTGTAGGCGGCAGAGGCAGGACGTACTTAGATTCGGAACGTAATCGGTGCACAGGTGATATGTCCCCGCCTTCGGATAACGTCATTTTCGATAATCAATGTTACGCGACAACACCGAGTTCTTCAAATGGTAACTCGGATATGGAACAATCAAACCATTGCAACTCTCGTCGTTGCAACAGCGGCCAGACATATCAACAGCAAAATATGCAATCGGTTTCGACACCTGGTAGCCCGACCAGCAGGCTTCTTTTAGAATATGAAAGACATCTCAGGAATACTCTGGCCAAGGGTATGGATGCTGAAAGTTATAGTTTGCGTACGTTCGAAGCTTTGTTGACTCAAAGCATGGAAAACCTGGGTAAGTTTTCTTTCTTTTTTCTTTTTCTTTGGAGAACAAACTTTGCTATATTTTAATCAACTATGTTTTTATTTATCGCGTTTCAGAATTGGCCGAGAACGTTTCTTTGAACGTTCAACGCACGCCCCACGTTTCCCGAAGACGTAAGTAATGATAACACCTGGCAGACGTTATTTTATTTGTCATAATTTGTGTCTCGTTAAATATTCTCGTTGAATTAGGAATCAACGAGAAGAGAATGCTTTTTTTTTTTTTTCTTTCTTTTTTTAATTAGAGCAAAGAAACAATTTTAATAGAATAAGATCGTAATGAAATGCGATTGCAGGATTGAGTTCAAACAAATCATCGACGTTACCGGTGTCGTATCGTTATTGTAACGAAAGACAAAACAGCAAAGATCGGGATGGCTATTACAGCGATCGAAACGAGATAATAAGGGAAAAGAGAGAACGTGAGGTGGATCGTGATCGCGGGTACCTCAGCGATTACAATTCTCGGTATGGTCATTTTTGAATTTCTAAGTAGGTCAGATAATATTCAGAAGTTCGTAGTTACATTATTTGTAGATGTAATTTGAAGTTGCTAGAGTTACCCCAATTCAAGCTTGCGCATTATTGATGATACAACAACGTACAGTAATTACAGTAAAGTCAATTAACAGAGAGAGAGAAAAGAAAAAACAAAAAAAAAAACAAAAAAAGAAAACATGACGTTGTGTTTAACGAGAACGAAATGGCCGTTAAGTTTTAATCGTTAAGAGATATATAATATGGAAAAATTAAAAAGAGAAAAAGAAAAAGAAATGATTTTTGTAGCCATTCGCGTCGTCGTTAAAGTGGAAACGTTCCGTTTGAATATTTAAGATGCGCCAGCTGTATCGGGGAATCGGCACGTGCTCAGTGGTTCAGGCATTCGGATGGTTGGCAATCCGGAAGTTCGACTCTCGGTTCAGGTGCATCCAGTTCAATAAATCCAGGTTATTCGATTCATAAAAGAGAATCTCCATGGGATTCATTACCGTCTTTGAGACACGAAGGGAGTCTCAACGATAGCGGTTACAAATCAAATCGTACGGATTCCTTGGAGCAAAGGTGAGTTATTGCTTCGCATGTGAGTTTTTTATTTAGAAATCTTTTCTCATTCTTATTTATTATTATTATTATCCATTATTATTATACCATTCTACTTGTATGAATACGGATAAGACGACAAGTTGGATTCCCTGAAAACTGTCGTTTAATTTTTTAAACAAACGACATCTAAAATGAACTTACGATTCTACGATAAACTTTTTAACAATTCGCAATTACGATCGACAAGATCTAATTTTATTAGTCCCCTTTTTTTTTTTTTTTTTTTATTCCCTAATAATAGCACACACGAGAACACGATAGTTGGTTGATAAATGTGTGCATTACTTAAATTATATACACCTTCTTAGTATATAAAATTGTGACCCCTTCTTTTGTACAATGCATACTTACATTTAAGCCCCTAGCGCATTCTTTCCCTCTTTCTTTTTTTTCCCTTCATTTTCCTTCTTCTTCTTCTTCTTTGTTTTTTTCTTTTTTCCTTCTCCTTTTCCTTTTTATTTTTCTTTTTCTTCTTTCTACCATATCAGGAGTAAAGTTCGAGTCCTCTCTTTTTCTCTGTCTCTCTCACCCCCGGCCAACTCACCTCCGACTTGCTGCATTGTTTTCATTGTCTTTTCTACCTTCATTGTGCTACGTTCTCCTTTCACGTTTACCACATTTCTTGGCCGTCTTCTCTCTCTCTCTCTCTTTCTCTGAACGCTACCTCGTTTCAGGCACGATTTTTAAAACGTCACCACCTGTGATTGCAGTGCGTCTAGATGGAAAAAAAATCGCACGAGTTTCGATATTAAAATGCTCCGACGCACCGACATTGCCCACACTATAACGTCAGATTCTTTATCTTCTTCGAGAAGGGGGTTGAGTCTTTTTTTTTTCTTTCTTTCTTTCTTTTTTTTTCTGTTACAAAACCATCAGCGCACGATTTTACGTTTTACTTCTTCCACGTTACGATGCATTATTTAAAACACGAAACATTACAATAAAGTGGAAACGTTTGTTCTGTCATTTGTATTATACGAGAATGTTAGCCAAGTTTATTTAGAAAAAAAAAAAACAAAAAATTATTCGATATTATATTTGTGAATTATATAAATTACTTCTCTTTCTATTACTATTATTATTATTATTATTATTATTACTAATAATTGGGTTTATTATTATTTTATATCAAATCTGATGTACTATCTATATTACTTTTGTTTTTTTACAAAAAAAAAAAAAAAAAAGAAAAAAAAAACAAAACAGGATAAAAAAAAAAGTGACACCCGACCGATCTCTACTCGATAAAAATATTGTCTTCTTTTTTTTCTTTTTTTTATATATAACCAATATTCTATTTTCTCTCGTTATTTTTGTTGTTGGTCTAACAGCAAACTCAAATTTTTTTTTTCAAAAAGTTATCCAAATATATATATATATCTTTCTTTATTTTTCTAATCGTAGCACGATATTTCACGCGTTGGAATAGAAATAAAAGTGCAACAAAAAAAAAAAAAGCAGAAAAAACAGAAAGAAAGAAAGAAAGGTGCATGAGTTACGAAACACCGCGAGATATACCGTTGAATTTTCGTGTTTTTTG